GTTGGGGACCACTACACTAGACCATACCAGCTCCCATTTTGATGACATATAGAACAGTGTTTCCCAACCTTGGGTCCCCAGATGTCCTTGGACTACAACTCCCAGAAATCCTGGCCAGCTCTCCTGAGGCCTAGTCTGACAGTCTACCCACTAGACCAGTGGTCCCCAACCATAGGCCTCCAGATGTTCTTGGACTTCAACTCCCAGAAATCCTGGCCAGCAGAGGTGGTGGTGAAGGCTTCTGGGAGTTGTAGTCCAAGATCATCTGGAGGCCCAAGGTTGTGGACCACTGCACTTGACCACACCAGCTCCCATTTTGATAACAGAGTTATCCTGGTAACACCTCGAGCCATGGCTTTTCTGTCCATTTATACTGACGGCTGCCTCGGAAAGGGAAATATTTCCAAGATGTTGTGCTGAGTGACGTCAATGAGAAGAACCCTTTCGACTGTAGCTAGACCCGAGGCTGTAGACAAAAGCAGCCAAAGTTCCCTCAGCTTCTGCTAGTATTTAGCGATGTAAACAATATTCTAAAATCACAAACTCTTGAAGTATTTCTCATTCACATACGTTTTCTCTCCACATACGTTGTTCTCCTCAGGCCCTTGGGAGTAAGGTGTCTTATAAATCGAAACCCATTACCCTTTATGGCAATGACTCCCAGATCTATTTTTACTCCCTCAACCTTTCTTTTCTCGACTGGTTCCATGCCGTTAAATGCTTCGTTGACATTTCCTCCTGCGCATACCATCCTCATCTCACAGCAAACCTGGCAAAGATAAAGCTCCTAGCCTTTTCCAGCCCTTCCCCACCCCGTTGCTGTGCCCTCCTGAGAGACAAATGCTGGATAGCTCAGTAGTTTAGGTTTCTGACTATGGAAGCAGAGGCTGGGAGTTCAACGCAAAGATAAAGCTCCTAGCCTTTTCCAGCCCTTCCCCATCCCGTTGCCATGCCCTCCTGAGAGACAAATACTCAGTGGTTTAGCTTTCTGACTATGAGAGCAGAGGTTGGGAGTTCAATTTCCCACTGGACCTCTTTGACAGGACCTGGACGTGATGATTCATAGGCTTCCTTCCAGCTCTGCAGGTCTAAGATTATTGTTGTTATATTAGCTCCTAGCCTTTTCCAGCCCTTCCCCATCCCGTTGCCATGCCCTCCTGAGAGACAAATACTCAGTGGTTTAGCTTTCTGACTATGAGAGCAGAGGTTGGGAGTTCAATTTCCCACTGGACCTCTTTGACAGGACCTGGACGTGATGATTCATAGGCTTCCTTCCAGCTCTGCAGGTCTAAGATTATTGTTGTTATATTTTGGATCTCATCTCTCTTGCCATTCTAGCAAAAAGTCCCGGGAGGGGGCGACTTTTCCTAGTTGTGTCACTGTGAGAAAAAAAAATGTCCATGGGCCGAAATCTGACAGTGCATGGAGGGATGGTAAAGGACTATCTGGAAACGGTCCCTTGAGAAAGGAATTGCCTGAGATAGAGAACCACTAAAGAAAATAGAGATGAAGGCCTAATGCTTCAGAACATAAGCAAAACACATCCCATCTTTACATATAGAATTTCTTTCTTTATAAAAGTCTTCTAGTTACTTCCAACTTATTCAGAATGTTTCACGGCACTCTAGAAGCATGTTGGTAGGATATTTTTGAAGTCTCATGCCACTTGTTATTACTATTTTCCTTCAAGAAAAAATATCAGACTGTAATACAAAAATAATGAGCCATTCAGCAAGTAGCATGATGTAGAGACGGGCACAAACGGACAGTTCAGCAGTTCGTGCACGTTCGCCCTTTGGATGAACAGGTGTTCAGTTTCAGCAAGTAGCATGATGTAGAGACGGGCACAAACGGACAGTTCAGCAGTTCGTGGAAGTTCGCCCTTTGGATGAACAGGTGTTCAGCACTTCCTAGACTCACCTACTTCAGCAGGCACCCGCTCTGAGGCAACACCTTGGCTTCTCTATCCCGCCTCCTCTCGACCTTGCCTCTAAGTGGACAGTTGCCAGAGGAGGCAGAGCTGGGAAGCATTTAACACCTGTTTGTTCGAAGGACAAACTGGCACGAACCGCCAAAACAAATCTCTCTTTGTGAGTATTTTGTGACATCATAAAGGCTAATGACAAATAGTTGCTTTTCAAACTCTTTGAAATAGAGTAGTCCTAGACTGAGCTGGAATTTTTAGCATGTATACTTTACTGAAACAGCAACGTCTATGGTGGCTCGGGCATGTCATGAGAATGGCTGATGGTTGGATTCCAAAGGATCTCCTGAATGGAGAATTAGTGCAGGGAAATTACCCCAGAGGGAG